GCCCCGATCTAGCACATCCCCCCCCCCCCCCTTCTGGTCCCTTCACTTATTGCCGTCGCCCCCTGTTGCTGCCTTGTCTTGCCCTGCCCCCGCTTCGATGTCTGACTGCGGCGGCCTGCTGTCGCGGTTTCTCGCCGCACCCCCCGGGCTGCGGGACCCGACGGCCGACACCCTGCCCCCTGCCCGGCTGCCGGCGTCGGTCCTGCTGGCCGGGCCCCCGGCGTCGTGCGTGCCTGCACACCTGCGTGCCCAGTCGCCTGGTCGCCCCGGCCCGCGCACTCACCCACTCGCCCATGCTGGCTGGCGCCTCAACCCCCCCCCCCCTCCTCCTCCTCCGCCAGCGGCCGGACAACCATGCTTCTCAACTTCACTATGCACTTTCTGGCCGAGCGCCCGGACGCCGTGGCCGTCTGGCTGGCCGACGCGCCGGGAGCCCTGCTTGGCCTGGCCGCCGCGTCAGTCCTGCATCCGACTGAGACACCCTCCCCCGCGGCGGCCGACCGCCTTCGGCGGCTGGACATCCGGTACGCCGCCGCCGCCGCCGCCCCCCCCCCCCCTTTTCCCATCGACCCTTCGCCCCGGCCGCCCGGCCGACCCCCTAACTCGCCGAAGATACTTCCCCCGGCCGCTGGACCTGATGCGATACCTGGCCCTGGCGGCCTATGGCCCCGGGGGAACGTGGCCAACCGGGCCCTTCCTGCTGGTGCTGGACGCCGGGCTCCGGCGCGACGAGTGCCCGACCTCCTCGCAATGCCTGTCACTGGCGCTGCAAGCTCTGGAGCCTCTGCAGGCCGGCGCCGGGGGCGGCCCGCTGGTCGGGCTGCTGGTATGCCTCGAGGCGGCTGCCCCGCACCCGGCCACCGGGTCGCGCGGAGGCATGTTCGAGGCGGCCTTCGACGCGTGCCTGGATGTGGGCGTCCCCTCCGTCGAGTGCGTCCATCGCACATGCGCGCATCCGGACCGGCACCCGCACTGACCCTCCTCTCCTCGCCCGTGGATTTGCGCTTCCGCAGCACCGATGACAGCCAGCCCCCGAACGAGCCGCCGGGGGGATTCTCCCTGTCGCTGACACTTGGCGACGCCTTTGCCTGTCGGACCTTTGACATTGTACGTCACCGGGCGAGGGGGCCGGGCCCTTTTCCCTCTCCCCCCTTTCCCCGCCGCTCCCCCGCCCCCCCCTCTCGCGCGCCCCTCGCGCCCCTCCTGCGCTTTCCCCCTCGACCCTCTTTCTCACCATCGCCCACATGACCCCGCCCTCCCCTCCCTCCCCCATCGCAGGCCCCGGATCGCATCGTGCCCGGGCCCGAACAGTAACAACAACCATAGCCCAAAAGGGGCCACACCTGAACATGGCAAATGAGAGAAAACACAAGGAACAGATACATTGTACAACAGGAGACAGAGAGAGAGAGAGAGAGAGAGAGAGAGAGAGAGAGAGGGAGCGAGAGGGGGCGGGGACACGGGGGAAGTGAAGACCCCCAGCCGACAGAGAGGAGGGACACCCCGAGGAAAAGGAGGGCAACGGAAGGCAGGAGACACGACCATGCAGCCATGCGCCCCCCCTGCCCCCGGCCACACACATACACACCGAAACACCACGCCTGGCGAGGATGCGGCCCCTCGCCCCACTCGGCCACCGGGCCCCCTCGCGCGTACGCGCGCGCGCACATGCGCACGCTCAGTGGCGCGCTCCCCCGCGGGCGGAGGCATTGGCGCCGCCGCTCACGGTGTTGGCAATGTCCACGCCGGTCAGGCCCTGGACCAGGGTCGGGAGCTGGCCCACAATGCGGACCACCTCGCCGGTCAGGCGGGCAGCACCGATGTCGGCGTCCGCCCCGCCGGAGCTGACCAGAGTAATGTCCTCCACCTTGCTCAGGGGCTTGGACACGGCCTCCACAATCTCCGGCAGGGTCTGCACAAGCTGCTCGATGTGCGCCCCGCGCGGGTAGCTGGCCCACGCCTTGGCCTTGAGAGCCAGCGCCTCGGCCTCGGCCTGACCCTTGATGCGGATGACCTCGGCCTCGGCCTCACCGGTGACCAGGAGCGAGTGGGCCGCCACCTCGGTCAGCAGGCGCGTGGAGTTGTAGTGCGCCTCGGCCATCTGCTCATCGCGGAAGAGGTTGGCCTCGGCCACGCGGTGGACCTTGGCCTGGAGGATGTGGTGCTGGCGCTCGACCTCCGCCTCCTCCAGGAGAATCTGCTGCCGGCGCTCGATGGCATCGATCTCGATGTTGGCCTGCTCCACCTCCTGCATGGTACGCGCGGTCTGCAGCTCGCCGGCCTTGCTGGCCTTGGCCCGCTCGGCCGCCACCTCGGCATCGTACTTGGCCTTCTGCGTGCGGAACTTCATCTCCGCCTCGCGGATGGCGGTCTCCGCCTTGTCGGTGGCCTCCTTGGACTTGAGGACCGCCGTGTCCTGCCGGCACTTGGCGTAGCTGTTGGCCGCGGCCTCGCCGATGCGCGCGTCACGCTTGACCTCGGCCGTGCGCTTGACACCGAGCGAGTTCAGGTACTCCGAGTCATCGGAGACGTCCTTGATGGTGAAGGAAACGACCCGGAGG